CTTGGATACAAAGAGATGGGAGGACAGCAAGTCACATAGAAGGTCAGACTCACACAGGATAATAGCTAATATTCAGTGCTTTCAAGTCATTTTACATACAAGGACACTGAGGCCAGGGTTATACAATGCAGGTGTCCCATTCAGGAGATCACCATGAAGCTCAGTCTGAATGTCTTTTTACTGCAAGGAATTTGCTGTGGGAAAAAAAAAAAAAACAGGCCATATGTTGGGAAGTCAGAAGGTCAAGAGAGAAACTTGAGTAAGTGTGGGAGGGGAAAGTAGAAGCTCACTGCATGCAGAAAGGGTGACAGTAAAGTGAAGAACTGGGAGACAGGTGAGTGATAAATGAAAGATGGAGACAAGGCAGAGATACACATGAGAGTTTACTTGTCAGAGCTGACAAATAAAGGCCACCTCTCCATAGATGGAGAGAGGCAATGCAAGCCTGAATTTGGGGGCTTTTCTGTGCTAGGCTCAGGGATCAGAGCCAGGCGGGTCTTAATTCAGATGGTTTAAGGGTGGGGTTGGTATGAGAGAGTGGTGATTCACACTTGGGCAGAAAAGAATGTGGGCAGTGAAGGGTGGGTGTAGATCAATCTTCTGTAAGTTTCTTTCTGCTGGAAAAGGACAGAGTCTGGACCCTTGTTATGGGCTCCAGGTGTCCTTGAGGCATTGGTGATGGTCATGAGGTGCTCAGCGATGTTGACTCTGGATAGCTCAATTTTGGTGAGGGGTTGGAAGTCCTGTAACAGAAGCTGGTTCATGGTTTGGTTAGAAATACTTTGAATGTGGTCTTGAGTAAATCTAGTGATGCAGGGAGAAAGCATTAACAGAAGTCTATGGCAAGGAGAGAGGTCAGGAAAGAGGTCTGGAAACCCCCACTGAAGAAGGGGGTTACTTAGCTGCCATTCTTCAGCAGAGGAGAGCTGTTGTTTCCAGTGTTCAAGGGCCTGTTGGGGTTATTTTATCTTGTCCTTTATTATACCAGATTGATTGATACAAAAACAGCCATCCAGACAAAGTTTGTCTTTTTTTCATCCATACAAAGATCAAGGCCCCTTTGATTATGCAGAAGATAAATAATCAAGCTGGGGTTGTATGGTTAGAATGAGGGAGGAGGGCAAAAATACAAAAAAAGGGAAGGAGGGCAGTCATGGTTCTGGAGTGTCCTCATGGCTCTCAGAGATTGAAGGAAGATTGGGGGTTCTGGCCTTGGAGAAATGCAGCTTGGGAGGACCTATGAGTGTCATTGCATAAAGCACAGAGAAAACCATTTTAAATGGGAATTATGAACCCAATATGAGATGCTCTCAAGGCAGGCCCCAAAGGAGTTGTAAAAATGACCTGATAGGGTTCAGTCCATTTAGTGGAGAGTTGAGAGGAGGAGGGAGGGCCTGTTGGGGGGTAAAAAGATACCAGGGCACCAGGAGAATCAGTGTGAGAAGGGAAAGAGGCAGAACTGGGCTTTGCCAGAATAGCATTGCTGTATTGACAAAGAATGTTCTTAATGTATGCAAGAAGGGGCCAGAAAAGATGAGGAAGTACAGGTAGTGGAGAATCAGAGGGTGGTGAGCTGAGCAGGAAGATAGGCCATCCATACAAAAGCTCAAAAGGGGAGATGTTGAGTGGCTTCTTTGGGAGGGCCCATAATCTAAGAGCCAAGGGAAGGAGTTTAGTCCAATCTAAATGTCCTCCTTGCCAGATAACTGGGGATGGTAATGGATATGAAAATGCCAAGAGATGAGTGCCTTAGCTACAGACTTTGAGGCACTGGAAGAATTAGACTGGAATGGGGTGGGGAGGCTGAATAAAGAGAAGACAGGTAGGTGGAGATTGAAGGTGAGATTTTTGATTGGGAGTTCCCCATGGTGAGTTGGCATGTTGGAGTGGCTAGAAGCAGGAGTTCTCATCTCTAGGCCAAAGCAGAGTAGGGGGCAGAAGCTGTAAAGGGGACAAGAGTAAAAAGTGGTCATCACCACAGGATTCACTGGCCCCAGGGCTGAAGTCTTGAAGGAACTGAGAGAAGGGGGTCATCACTGGCTACTTCTGTAGTCCCAGTTTTTGCCCAGTAGAGCATCTTGCTTGCCTGACCAGGGCTTTCATGAGCTCTGCTGAGGAGCTGAGAACCAAGACCAGAGAGTGAACTTGCCAAAGGGAAGGGATGGAAGAGAAGCCACTCATGGTCAGACATTAGGGGCAGCACCTGTAGCGGCACTTGTGTTCCCAGAAGGGAGAGGAGAGCCATTTGGGTGCCTTACCCAGCGGGGCAGAAGGCATAGGGGGCAGAAGCCATGATCAACACCCAATAAGAGCCCTTGGTGAATGGAGAAAGGTAGGTGATAATTATACTTGGCCCTCAGGCCAGGGTTCCAAAGCAGCTCAAATTTCCAGAGGGGAGAAAAGACCAGTGGGGATGGGAGTCTAGATACCAATGAAAGAAAGGTGACCAGGACTAATCACACATATACCTGGGGTAAGCAGAAGTCTGAGGGGCTGCTCTATGCAAAGGAAGGGAAAGCAAGGGGAATGAGTAGGTCTGAGGAATCCATTTTACAAGAGGGCTTGAATGATAGGCTGTCAGCCTAGGAATGTTTGTCAGGAGAGTGGGTATTGTGATTGGGCCAGGAAATGGAAGGGGGTTTTGAGACGGATGTGAATGGGCTCATGATGTCAGGCAATAGAAGGACTTGAGACATCCAAGACAGTAGGGTCCACCTTGGCAGGGGGAATGGGAAGGCACTGGCAGATGGAACACAGGAGTTTGTTACAAGGTAAGGGTGAGGATCAAGGGAGCAGCAGGTGAGTCTAGATGGAAGCATATATGAGGGGAGAAGGAAAGCATGGCTCTCAACTTTGTGAGGATGTACCTTGACATAAGGGGAAGAGAGCACTGTGGAATGATCAAAAAGGAGTGAATAAAAACTAGAGAACCAAAGGCACAAACAAGGCTAGTTGTTTGCACGGCTAGTAAGGTTTCATAGGATAAGTAGTAGGCTCCATGAACTCCTTGAGGACTGAATATGTAGCCCCTGTGTTAGGAGGAAGGAGACAGGCCTACCTGAAATATACTGAATTACCCTGGGTTTTTGTGAAGTGATGATAGTGGTACAGTGATGGGGACCTTGACTTCATGTGTCCTCTGTAGCCAGTCTCAAGCATTGGAAAGGGGAACCAGAAAGGCTGAATGACGAGGGTCTGCTGTGAACTCAGGGACTGTCAACAGCCCATTGTCTCTCCTGATGTCATTTAGGACAAGGGCCCAGAGGCTTGGGACATGACAAGCCTAGTGACCCATCTGACCACACCTCTAACAGGGTTAGGGTGATCCTGAGGGAAACTTCCATGGCCCAATGGAACCAGGGAAAGATGCTGAGGCTGAATAAACATGTGATATTTCTGCTTTTGGGCCTTCTCATCTCTTTGCTTATACACCTTAAAAGTCACTTCTAGAACCTCAGCTTGGGGAGTTAGGGGACCCCTATCAAGGTGCCCTAGTTTTGCCTTAATATTGAGGAAATTCTTGGAGTAAAAGTAGGTCTCCTATCTGGAGTCTCAGGGTACAGATTAGTGTACTGTAATAAAGTCTTGGTCAGGTGATCTAAAAATGATGAAGGGTTTTACTTCATCAGCATAATTTCTAGCTTACTCCCAAACTCACCTACATTCCTCAGGCAGGAGGATGTTAAACAAGATAGGACCAAGCTGGTTTTCTATCTGTGAAAGTTCTGACAAAGAGAAAGACACGTGAATTACGCCATGTACCAAGCCTCCTTGCGGAGAGGACCCAGAGAGGCAGGTTGGGCAGTGGCAGCCCATGAGCATGTGGCAGGAGGAGAGAAGGGTGGAGGGGCCCAGCCTCTGCTGCAGAGGATTCCTTAGAAAGAGAGGAAAGGTGAGATGTGGGAGACCAACCTTGCATGTGACTGAATCACACTCCCCGGCTGGATGCTGAGGCACTCAGTTACAGAAATGTGGCAGAGCTTTCCCCACCCTTTTGGGGTTCGAGGGTCAGTGTCTCATGCATGGGTGTGTCTTACTATAACCCCATGGGTGAAGCTATGCTCACCTGTTCCTTTGTAATATAACCCCTTGCCCTATTTAGGAAAGAATCTTCCATGGAAGTGCCTTGTGTGTGTCCCCTTCTGTTATTGTGTCCTTGGGTGTGGTCTAGCAAGATGTCAGTCAACCTGATGACAGTGGACATCATGAAGATAAACTCAGCCCCCTGAAACCCAACCCCTTGCCTCATTTGAATAGCTTCTCCTCAATAAAAGGGGTCAGTGTGTTCTCTCTCTCTCTCTCTCTCTCTCTCTCTCTCTCTCTCTTTCTCTCTCTCTTCCTGCAGACCCTTAAGGTCAGAGAAGCCATCACAGTGACCCCCAAAGAAAAAGGTATCTGTGTCTCTTGTGGGGTTATTTTGTGCAGCCCAATTAGCTCAGTTCATCTGGAGTGACCCCTGAGCCTTTTAGTCACGAGAACAGAAACCCGACAGTGAGAGCTAAGAGGCTTGTGCAGAGAACAAGAGTTGCAGAGTGCTGAGAGAGACCAGAAAGCCTGAATGTATGATCTTTTTCCGTTTTCCCAAACACTCACAATAGTTGAAAAGATCCTAGATAATACTGGGATCTAGAGTGCCATTTAGTGGCCATTTAGTATCACTATCCAAAGAACATTGAGGCCAGATCTGATTGCACAGACAGGTAAGTTTTGAAGAGCTTAATTCTGGGGTGAGAGAGAGAGTCCCTAGGATAGCCAGGAGGCAGCCTGAGAGACTATGGGAGGGAATGGATGAGGAGCTGACCTTGGTGAGATGTAACTTAAGGCCAAGAGGTCTCCCAGGAAAAACTCCCAATCACCCTTACTGATTTTTGTCAAAACCCAGGATCCAAATAAAAGAACCCGTATAGACCCAGTTGACAGTAGGGATCAGCCATAGCTGTGAACACCATGGCTGGGCATCCCTTCAACCACATGGTAACCCTGGGAGTGCCAGATAATCGATGGTTCACTTCCTGGGACCCATAGGTCTTTTAAGTCGATCGGAGACAGGGGTCTTATGTGAAATATCTGGAGGTGAGTGTAGAGAGGGAATTGGGTTGAATGGAGGGCCTGGTTTCAAGATGGAGTTTGGATCAGGACCTCGGGATGCTCTGTGAATCTCAAAGAAGGGAGTGGGCACATAGGGGAACCTGATCCCAGGTTTTGGCAACAATGAAAGGAAAGTGAGAAACTGGGAGCCTAGTGAGTGAGAAATGAAAGATGGAGACTAGGCAGAGATACACAGGAGAGTTTATTTGTCAGAGCTGACAAATAAAGGCCCTCTCTCCATAGACTGAGAGAGACAACACAGACTTGGGGTTCAAGACTTTTATGGGGGAGGCTCAGGGATTAGAGCCAGGTGGGTTCTAATGTGGACAGTCAAGGATGGGTTTTGTGTGAGGGAGTGGTGAGCTTTTCCTGGAAAGGCCCTTGGGTGGGAAAATGGCAGCTGTCCCTTAAAATGGCTGCCCAGATGCTAAGCAATGACCGTATAAAGGGTATGACAGAAAGGGGGTTTCTCAGGAGGGAAGCTGAGGTTGGTGTTGATGAGGTGGGAACTGTCAGGTGGCAAAGTGAGATTGTGGGCGAGGAGAGTTCATGTCTGGGTCTGAGGAAGGCTGTGTGGGGATGGACAAAATCAGGAGATGTGGTGGCATGGAGGGGAGAAACCATGAGGCATTTTAGGAAGAGCATAAGCATGCTTGTTCCCTAAGCAACGATGATTCAAGAAGAGGAGTCTGAGTAGGGCTTGTACAAAGGGAAGAATCTGGATGCCCCTGGGATAGGTGAAAGACCTGACTTGCTGAGTTCTATTTGGCATGTGTCCTAATCACCTGGATTTTCCTCATTTTCCTGTGACCAGAGAGCACACCACTATCAGTGATCTCTATAACCATCTCCTCTGTCAAAGGTGTTCTCTTTCATTCTGGTCCGGGTCACTTCCCACCTATTTCATTTCTTGACTTTCTCCTACAGTGTTTCTCTCTCAGCTCCCCCCACTCTCAGCATCCCCCAGGCAGCTCCCAATGGTCTCCATCCTTTCCTCTCTCCTCCTCAGACCTTGTCTTTCCCCCTCCACAGCTGAGAGCTCACTCAGGGGTGCAGTGGACTGGGGAGCTGCAGATCCTCAGTGGGACTCTGACCCAAGCACCAGCTGCTACCTGCATCCTCACCAGGAGCCACTCTGCCAGAGGAAAGTCAGGGGGAAAGAAACTTTGAATTCTTGTTCCACTCCCTTTATGCCTCCCTTGTTATGGTTTAGGTGTGAGATGTCCCCCAAATGCTCATGTGTGAGGCAGTGCAAGAAGGTTTGGAGGTGAAATGACTGGGTCATGAGAGCCTTAACCCAATCAGTGCATGAATCACCAGACAGGTGCTGAGTGTAACTGTGGGGTGGTAGGTGTGGCTGGGGAGGTGGGTTCCTGGTGGTGTGATTTTGGGGTATATATTTTGGCCTTGATGAGTGGAGCGCTCCCTCTCTCTCTCTCTCTCTCTCTCTCTCTCTCTCTCTCTCTCTCATTCTTGGTAGCCATGTCCAGAGCTGCTTTCCTCTGCCACATTCTTCTGCCATGATGTCCTGCCTCACCTTGGGCCCTGAGGAGTTAGTTGGCCATCTATGGACTAAGAGCTCAGAAACTGAGACCTGAAATAAACTTTTTTTCTCCTTAAAATTGTTCTTGTCATGTCCTTTGGTCACAGAAGCAAAAACGCTCATGAAAACACCCTCTTCCTCCTTCTCCTGCATCTGTTATATCCTTTGTTTCTCTTATCTGCTCACAACATTTTGGTCCCAGAACCACATTCCTTAATTAGTTAATTTTCTTTCTTCTCTTTCTTACCCAAAACCAAGTGTCCTCTCCTTGGTTTCTTCACCCCACACTCAAGAGCAGCAGTCATATATTTTGTGCGATCCAGGGAAAAATGAAAACGTGGAGCCCTGTCCTAGTCATTCCTGCTGCTATCACAGCATGCCATAGACTGGGTGGTTTATAACCACTAGGAAATTATTTTTATAGAGTCTGGACAGTTCAAGATCAAGGTAGATTTTGATTGTGGTGGGACCTGCATTTAGGTTCATGAAAGACACCTTCAGAATATTTCTTCTCATGGTGGAAATGCTATGGGGCCTCCCTGGGGTCCCCTTTATTAGGCACTAATCTGATTGCTGAGGTTGAAACTGCATGACCTAATCACCTCCCAAATCCTCCCCCTCCTAATACCATCATATGGGTGGTTAGGTTTCCAATGTATGAACTTGGGGAAGACACAAAGATTCAGATCATAGCAGGTTTGTGCTCAAATTGCTCTTAAATGGAGTTCTCTTAAAGTTACTAACATGCAAAACTTCTTCATTTCTATGAAAAGTTATATGGCTGTTTTTATTTAGTTTCCTATTTTTGCATCCCTTGGGCACAGGGATACTGTCAGGATGATTGCAGGAACTCTTAGGCAACTGAGGAGTGGGGCTCACTTCATGATGACATGCAAGCTACCCACTGGCTGCCTGGTTTCTGCTGCCCCAGCTGTTCTAGTGATCTCTGCCTGTGCTGGACTGAAGGGGGAAGTTAATCTCCCTTTCCCAAATGGTCACCTCAATACTTTGCACATAGGTAACCACAGAGAAACTAGAACCAAATTATGTGGAGATTCATGTGACAGTTGGAACAAGAGTGGGCAAGTGGCTCACCCTGACCAAGTTCAAAATAATTTGGTGAGGACTCTGGATGGGATAGCTGCACCTTCATTCTGCTCCCACACTCATAGGTGCATGTCCCCTTCTTCTTCATCAACAAGGAGTTGATGGATCTGGAAAGGTTGGTCCAGTTATACTTCATGAACCATCAGGACTTTTATATTTCTCAATTAATGTTTAAAGGTGAGTTCCCGTCCCTTGTTGGGGAGAATAAAGGGATGAGAGTGGGGCATCTCCGTGAACTTTTATTCCTCAGGGAGACAGCCTATTCTTCTCTGAATCTTACTCTGCTCTCTTCAGCATAAAATTACAATCACACCCTGGGCACATGCGATAAACACAACCAGATTTTCAAAAACTTCAGTTTTTGCTACTTATGAACTGCTCTCTCTCATTGCCTGCAGGGCTGTGTTTTATTATCTGCCCTTAGAGGAATGCTGTGGCCACCCTTTTCTTTAATCTTCAGTTAGGTACCTTCTGCTACCCCACTCTTTGGTTGACTCCTTAAACTGTGATTTTCTCTCCCGTTTAATCTCTTCAATCTTCTAAACTGTCTAAACTGTCATAGAAACCATTAAGTCATTCTCCCCATACCATCGCTATCACCTTTGAACAATTCCCTCCCTTCCTCATATTATCATCTCTTCCTCCAATTCCAGCTCCTACCAGTTCCCTTTTCTGTGAAACTCTGACCAAACCATACTGGGGTCCATTCCCTTAAACTCCCCAAACTCCCTTCTGCTTCTATTGCTTTCATCTCATTTATTTTTGTCCCTTTTCTTCCATTTCTCCTCTAATTCATTACTCTTCTTCCTCAGATCCCTTTGATCTACAGGTGGCAGCAGACTGTGAACGGCACTCTGGGAAGGGCTTCCTAGGCTTTGTGCAGGTAGCTATCCAAGGATATGACTTCATAAGCTTCCAGAATGAAACATGGTCACCATCTCCCATGGGGGGAAGAAAGGCCCAGAAAGCCTGCAATCTACTCAATCTGAACCAAGCCTACACAAATAGGAAACATTGGCTCCTCAGTTATGCCTGCCCACGTTTAATCTCGGATCTTCTAGATGGAGGGAAAGCTCATCTCCAGCGACAAGGTCAGTCTTATATCCAGTCTCGAAGAATTTTCATATTTTAAAATGAAATTCAGGATAAAAAGAGACTGATGAGTGAAAATACAGAACTAGGAATGATATGTATTTGTAGGCTTATGTGGAATTCTAAAGTTCTCAGTCTATGTTAGTGTCTAAATGTCTTTTCTGGTGTTTTCAGTGAACCCTGAGGCCTGGCTGTCCAGTGGTCACAGCCCTGGACCTGGCCATCAGCTGCTGGTGTGCCATGTGTCTGGCTTCTACCCAAAGCCCGTGTGGGTGATGTGGATGCGAGGGGAACAGGAGCAGCAGGGCACTCAGAGAGGTGACATCCTGCCCAATGCTGATGGGACGTGGTATCTCCGAGCAACCCTGGGTGTGGCAGCTGGGGAGGCGGCTGGCCTGGCCTGCAGGGTGAAGCACAGCAGCCTAGGAGGGCAGGACCTCGTCCTCCACTGGGGTGGTAAGAGCTTGACCCAGGCTGGAGATGGGATGAAGGGAACTTCTAGCAGAGCACGAGGACCAGGTAAAAAATTGGGATTTACAAATTCCAGACCTAAAAAGAAGAAAAATATGTAATTCAAAGAATGGATAAATTTAAAATGAGGGATCTATAGATGCAGATTGAAACATCATCCTGGTGTCCACTTGAATCTGCAGCACCTCAGAGTGCCCTGGGCTTGATCCTCTTTGCTGTGATAGTGGCCCTGGCTCTTCTGACAGGTCTTGGATTTTGGTTTTGGAAATGCTGGTGAGTCCTTTGTGTCCATCTTTCCTGTTCGTCCCTCCTCCCCAATGGTCTTCCCTTTTTTTGACTTTTTCCTCACTTTTCCTTCTCCCTTTAGCCCCACTCCCACTTTCTGCTCAATTCTCACCTCCACCTTCTAAAGTTCTGTTCTTTTTTTGTTCATGTAGGACACACTGTGAAGCTCCCTACAGTGTTTGCTCTCTCTGAAGTGAGGACCCAGCTACCCAGGTGCCCAGTCTACACATGAACACCACAGGGTGATGACATTACTTCAACTCTCCTTGTTAAAACTTTGCTATTCATTTCTGCTCCATGATCATTTACCAATATGTGCTCAAAGTAATCTTGCAGGATTTGTTGTTCTGACCTGGTTTCTGTGGGTTTAACTCTGAATGGAACAGGATGTTAGCAGTGTCAGCCTGGTTAAATGTAATGGATCATCAGATGCATTTCAGCTGTCACACCCTCCAGGGGTCCTTCCTTGATCCACAGTGGGAAGCCATCTCTCCTCCATCTGAGCATCTCCACATTTCAGCTGTGCCCCTCACTGCCTAGCATCTGTGGCAGGTGTGTAGGTTTGTTTCTTCTTTTAAGTTTTTAAAATTTTGAGAGCAAAGCACATGCTTTATGAATATCTGCATCTTTGGTGAAGTGTCTGGCCTGAATACAACATATTTTCAATAAAACCTGTGTTGAATTATGTAAGGTTTGTAGTTTTTGTTGTTGTTTGTTTTGTTTTTTAAATTCTATTTTTATACCTTTGGTATAGTTGAGATATTTGATGCTCTTCTTGTTCAAAGTCTTGCTTTGCCAGGAGACTTCATGCATTCCTGGTTTTATTTATTTATTTCTTCTGAGTCTCTGAGGAGAAACACAGTTTTGCCACTTAACAATTCTGTTATTCAATTTTGGGAAATATTAGCATAAAACCATTGTTTCAAGTGCTCTAAACAAAAAGAGCAGGGAAGGATGAAGGTCCTCCATATTCAGTGTGGTTTATGGTCAAATAGCAGATTCATTACATGGGAGTTTGGTAGAAATGTAGACTCTGTGGCCTGGTCTCAGACTTACTGAATTCCAGTTTTCATTTCAACAAAATCATCAGAAGACTCGCAGATACATTAAAGGTTGAGAGGGACAGCATGGTGGTGATACCTGAAATATGGCCCAAGGGAATCACTGAAGAGGGAATCAAAAATGAGTAGTGAAAGTGCTGCTCTTCAAGATTGAAGTAGGTCCAGATAAGTAATGTGAATAGTGAACACTGAGCCATGTTCCTAGGGTAAATAGACGGTTAGGTACCTTTGAGTTTCTGGCACAATATTTTTGTTACCTGATGAATACATAATCTTGGTTTTGTGTATTTTTTTTTGAAAATCATATTTAATATATATTTACAAGAAATTAATTGTATGCCATATTTCTTTAAACAGAAACATTATCAGAGAAGTATTTAACAGTTTCCTGACCCTGATTGATGTGATCACAAATTTCCTAGCCTTTCAACCTTCCTACATTGATGTCTACCATATGTTAAAAAAAAAAAAAAACTGTTGTCATCTCATGGAAACACAAATATGGTTGTTTCTCTGTTTGTCATAGCTTTATCATAGTATTATAGTACTCACTTTATAAATTATGTCATCTACCAATCATGAAATTTTATCTTTCTTTTACCAGCGCATTGCATTGCTTATTAACATTGAACTCTCAGACAACAGCAGTATAACTATAATAAATCTGATCTAAAATACCTTCTTCCTGTGTAATACACATCACAGCCTTCTTCAGTTTATGAACATTAGATAGCATGTTAGAGATGTGTTTGGGGTCATTTTAATTGACAATATCAGTGACAAAGAGCACAAAAGTGTGAAAAACATGGCACTCCCTAGGCCACACAAAGGATGCTTGTCCTGCAGTGAGAAGGGAAACCTGAAGACAGAGCTTCACTTTTTTGACTTTCATAGGGAATGTGTTCTTCATTTGACTCCCATTTTGTACCACTCTGTACATATCTATGAATGACTGCAAAAGCACTGTCAGTACTTAATTTGGGGTTATAAAAGTTTCCACAGGTTGACAAATTAGAAATCCTGACTAATGGGGATAGACTAATGAACCCAACTTACAGTGAGAGGTACGTCATCTATGACCAGACTTCAGTTACTTTAAAATCCATAAGCTGATGTAACAAACAGTTCTTAGGCACATACTATATACTTACTGTGCAGCAGGTGCATATTAAGTATAAAGTATTGAACGGATAAAAGATCATCACTGTATTCTCAGCTTGAAAATTTTGACTACCCAATTTGATTGTGCAGTTTAGTATTTTCATTGATTTTTTTCTTCTTTTATCTTTCTGGAAAGACTTACTTGAAATGAATTTGGGGAAAGGGACTTAGCTTTATTTTGCTTAGGCAGCTGAGAAGAGGGAACCCAGGAAAGGGCAACATCTAGACAGACCAGGTGCAGGTGACATAGCACCTGTAAGAAATTGTCCCATGGATTTCCTCCTGAGAATTCATCCCTGCATTCTCTTGTCCTTTCTTCATTCATCACACATCTAGTTTTTACTATTTGTATGGAAACATATTCACTGAGAATAGTTTCAAAATGAATTTATGCTTGATTAGATTACAAATGCAGTGTGCAGATCTTATTTAAAGCTGACCATAACTTGGGGAAAATATAGGGGAAATTTCCCAGATTCAGATAAAACCCTCCATGTACAGCAAAGTTTCATCTACAAAGCTCCCTACACCAATATATTTTACTTAAAAGCACCAAATTGGGTTTGGCTGTTCATCTTAAAGTAGTGGGTAAAGAAAAATATTTCCAACAGACAAACAGCTGTCACTGCAGGTGAGCATTCTACATCAGGCACCAGCATCTCAATTTGGAACAGAGAGAAACAGCAAATTTTCTTTTAAAATCCTGCTGACACTTGTAAAATGTTTATATCACACCACTAGGTGGCGTGGAGAGCTAAACAGTTAACCAAGGCTATAAGGCTATAGATTATTGAGGCTTTCTTAGGAATAAACAAAAAGATTGATTTTTGAATTCTGTGTACATGTGTGACAACATAACACTACAGCAAAAGACACCTCTGTACAATTCTACTAAAGCAATTGTGGCAGAGGCTCACTTCAGTTGCATGTCATATCCTCTGTGCCTTTGCCCTAGACTTTTCCTGCAATGTGATTGGGACACCTGAGAGAAGCTACTTAGAATTTCTCAATGCTCAGAACTGCAAGTGTCAAGGTGTAACACACCTTGGACAATCCTTGACAATTAATGGATGGGAGGTCTTGAATATGTACTTTTCTTATTTCTCAGGTAAATAATTCAGAGACAAAATCAGTATAAAGAATCAGAAGCCCCCAGCAAGATCAGATCCCAGTTTTTTGTACCAGTGAGAAGCTTGATAACATCATGAATTGGCTTTCCCTCCTTTCCTGTTTTATACTTCCTAGTGTCCCACTCATGGTCCTTGTTATCTTGTCCCCAAATAAAGTTTTATCTTTAAAACTCCCAAAGCCAATATAGACTATTTTGGTTTTCTCTTCTGTTTTAGGATCTCCACTATGAAAAAACAAAAAACAACAACAACAAAAAAAAACCCAAGCATGATCCACTACTCTTATAAAGAATATTTTCAGCACTTAGAAGTTTCCCTCATGGCTTCTCTTTCCAGTTAGTAACCTCTTAAAGGCAACCAATATTCTGATCTCTAACAACCTAGACTAGATTTTTATTTAATTTTTTGAAACTCACTTTCTGAAATCTTAATGGTAAGTACTCTGATATACCTGCCTTTTTTGCTGAACATTATTTCTGTGGCATCTATCCATGTTGTTCTTGGTTTTGTGTATTTTGTTTAAAAATCGTATTTAATATATATTTACAAGTAATTCATCATGTGCTGAGAGCCACAGCTGAGTCGGAATGGCCCCTGGCATTTTGCCATCAGTATTGGTTGAGAGGCGAGCCATTATTCTCCACCTCGGCCTGCTACTTTGGAGTTCTCGGGCTACTTTGGAGTTCTCGGGGGGAATCCTGGAGAGTTCACATTGGTTGGGGAAGTACCGGAGGAGGGATTCTGGTTGGTGGTTCCTGGAGGAGCCGTGTGGCGTTCGGCAGATTTCCAGGGAGCGTGTGTGGAGTGTGCTGGTAGAGTACAGAAATAAAGTTTGTTCCTGCTTCAGTGGCTCGTAATTTGTGCCCAGCAAGACTGTGGCATTTGGTGGCCCGTATGGGGAACGCCTGAAGCTCGGAGGTAAGTGAAATTGCTCGCCCCTGAGGGAAGGCGAGAGAATGGGTGACCATTTCAAAAAACAATGTGTTCTTTTTTTGATTTGTTTTGTTTTTGTTTCAAGGTGCCTATCCTTAGAACTTTCTCAGGCAAATTGGGAAAAATGGTTGGTTCAAGGTTTGAAGTTGTTCACCCCTGAGGAAGAGATAGAAATAGATCACAAATGCACATGTCAAGAAAATAGGAAAACTGATGCAACGATTTTTTGTTCCATTTTTGTTTCATTCTGTTTCGGTTTTGTTTTGTGTTATCTTGTTGGGTTGCATTATCTTTATAGTAGATTAGAAATTAGTAAAAAACAAACTGAAAGAGTGTTAAGTAAGCATAACCCAATCAATAACCCAATCAACGAATGGGCCAAGGATCTGAACAGACACTTCTCAGAGGAGGACATACAATCAATCAATAAGTACATGAAAAAATGCTCACCATCTCTAGCAGTCAGAGAAATGCAAATCAAAACCACCCTAAGATACCATCTCACTCCAGTAAGATTGGCAGCCATTATGAAGTCAAGCAACAATAAGTGCTGGCGAGGAAAAGGGTACACTTGTACATTTCTGGTGGAACTGCAAATTGGTGCGGCCAATATGGAAAGCAGTATGGAGATTCCTAGGAAAGCTGGGAATGGAACCACCATTTGACCCAGCTATCGCCCTACTCGGTCTATTCCCTGAGTACCTTAATAGAGCATACTATAGGGATACTGCCACATCAATGATCATGGCAGCACAATTCACAATAGCTAGACTTTGGAATCAACCTAGATGCCCTTCAATAGATGAATGGATTAAAAAACTGTGGCATTTATACACAATG